CAACTGAACCAGATCCGGTAAAAGACTCCAGCCGTTTTCTGTCGTGACAGTGGATCTTTCGACCTCATGACCCAGCGCCTGATGGTTGATTCCGGCGTGTGTGGAGTGAGAAGGCGGCTGACTGATTCGGATAAATTGCTCACATAGAAAAGAGGTCGCCAAACTTTTGGGCTGGTTGAATTTAGTCTGTTGTCTCGTTTGCGTATGCATTGTTTGACAAAATTGCGCGGGTAGTCATTCGTTCTCAGAACACGTCAAATAAATTTCAATTCATAGGATTACATTTCGATGACAGCGTACTTGATTGTCGCGCAATTATCAAATCAACATCCAACACGGAGGATAAAGTTGCGGTAAGTAATGACTCGGAGTCGGACTGCCAGGCTATCATCGCATTGATCACAACCTCCAAGCGATGATCACGGGACCTGCCTAGTGTAGTACGCATGCGGTCGCGTGGCCGCTACGGACTATAGCCCCCTATTCTGTTGTTATCTCTGATGAAGGGTTCAAGCCAGAATCAGAAACGTCAGGCAAATAAACTTCCAGCGATCTTACCTTCTACTTCTGTGCTAAGTAAAATGTTTACTGGAAATTGCCCTGTACCCGGAGCCGCCCACCTGAAATGATTACTAAAGAACAAATGGCCTTTTGGCCTACCGGAGAAGCTTGAGCTGTTGAACGTCAGTAGCGCAGAAGGTAATCTAAGTGATATCCAACGCAATAAAGTTTTGTGGATGGGAACGCACACCCTATTGTCTAGAATCAGCAAGAAACCAATCACTACAAAGTCGGCCAACGCAACAACCTCCTCTAAATCCCACCACATTCTGTCTTCTATTTGACTGAGAAGTCATGTCACGATTGCTTGCTTTGTTGCAGACAACAAATAATGCTGTCCGGCCTGTCCAGCAAAAGCATCTAGTTAGCCCTGGTATCGGTTGAGAGGAAGGATTGTACAAGCCAGAAAGCCTTTTTTTCCTGAAAGTAATGAAGAGGAAACTACTGCGTCCATTCCTACAGACAATCTGGGGGTCCTTGGGCTTTCAAAATTTTAAAACAGGGTTATACCAATTCTGCGCACTTAGGCTTTCACCAGCTCTGGGGCCGTTCTTTATCGAAGTTGCTTGCGAACATCAAACAGCGCACACGGCAAATATTTCACACTTTCATAAGTTAAAATTCCGCTGGGCTGGCTAATCGTATTTCGCAGCGTGGCTGTAGGCATCCGGTTGTGTTTGGTTCTTTACTTGGCTGTTGACAGGGCTGTCGTCTCTGGCAGAGGGAATGGGTCAGGTGACAGGTCTCGGCGAAGACATTTTGCAGTTTTTTTTCGAGCATGAACTATGATGGACACGGTTTCAGGCGCTCACCATCATCGATTGACCGACAGCTTTCTTTTTTTTCAAAAGGGGCTTGGCAGCCCTGTTTGTTAGTCGTTTTGTCTAACCGTAGTTTGTCAAGTGTTTACGTACGTGAGCCTTAAGCACTGACTCCTGTACAAGATTTACTTCCCTTGGAGACTGGTACTTCTTAACTCAGACACTTACTATACAATGCACTTACAAAAAGTTGTACATTAGGGACGCTGTCGTTGTAGCGAATTAGAGAGTTGCACTGACTTTAGGTACAGGCGTCCCTCGGACGATACTGCTGTAGATACTCAGGAAGAATTTTTCTATGGTGGCATCTTCTGTTGCAGTAAAACATACCATGCATTCAAACCAACAGAGTTTATTTAATGACGGTTTTTCAATCCTATGTAAAAGCGATTAACCCGTTACTTTGGTGCTAAAATACCTCTCTAACCAATATTGTCAATTCACACAAGAAGCGGTACCGATTATAATTTGGCATGTTTTGTGCCTTTTTTCGCTTTTTGCCTTATGCACAAAAAGACTCACCCCGTAGGTTGGTGAAGGTATTGGTGATCATCATCAAGATTGCGGTAGCCCTGCCAAATCGCTGATTGATTTCCCTGCTTACGGGACCCCAGGTACTTCGCAAGTCAACCATCTCTTGGGCAGATAGTACCTTGGTCCCTTTAACTGTCAGACTTTACGTTCGGATCTTTATGTTCAATTGGTGTTTATCACTGTCTTTCAAAGTGCTGAGAAGTTCCATTTCGTTTTGCAGATGTACCAGATTCTGCTGCGCCTATAAGCTATGTTATGGCTAACGGTCCCAAGGTCCCCCTTCTTGAAATACCTCAGCCCTCTCACTTTCTGGAGAGCAATGTGACTGCTCAACCCGTGTCCTCCGACACCATACCCTCTTCTTCCTGTGCTCCCTTCACCCCAAGTGCCGCCGCCGAGCCCTGTCCTCCGGTAGTGACACCCATCGCTTCCGAATTGCGCTCCATTTGTATGCACAGTTAATGATTGTTTATATTCAACCTTGGTTAGATCGCTTTACGCAACTGTTAGATCTGTGCATTTGAAAACATTGTCAGCTTTAGACAAATATTTTACTCTTATTGCAGATTTTGAGTACTTACTGACCTTTTCTTTCTCAAGACGTATTAAACCCGCAGGTTCAGGCGTGACAGTTAAGGACTGTTCTACGCTTGAAAGTTAGATCATCCTAGCAGTCAGTGATATGTGTTAAGTAGTTACCTTCGTGTATCCAATCCTTCCCTCCTCGTGTGATGATTGGCCTCAAAAATTCGAGCTTTAAATACGCAACACTCTCGTGCAAAAATATACTGGCTTGCATACTTATTCCCTTATCGACCGACATGGCTATAGCCGGCTCGGTTACGTGAATAAAGAATAGCGATTCATTTATTTGCGAAAATTCCCATTGACAATTTCAGAACATAAATTGACGATTTCAGATTTCAGATGCTTTCTATAATAATCAGCTTGGCTATTAGGTGAATTGGCAGTTGGTAAAACACCACTGTCAGGGCTTTTCCATGTTCATAGTGTCAAGGCAACTTCATGTTACCCTATGATATTTTGTGGGGCAGCCAATGCACCCTTCTCATACTCCTTACGTTTTCTCCTAGGAGTTATGACTGCTTATCTTTTAGACCCAAAAGTGCGATTACTTGACACCAGAAACTCGCCCAAGTTTTCTCCGTTGTTCTGTTTCCTTGGTCTCGTTGCGTAGCCAGAAATCAACCTTTCATAGGCAAATACCTGCTTTAGAAGGTTTCATGTCTGGTAAGCTTTCTTTCAAGCCTAATTCAACTTTAAAACAAGAGGGCATTAATACAGACTTTCGTAGCAGTGTCGGAAGATTTGACATAATCGAGACCCTTTGTGAAATCGCCACTCGTAAAAGTAGTCGGTAAACGCCGCCTTTAAGACACTAAAACATTATGCGGGCAATCAACTTCAGTTTGAGACTGCAGTTATTGCAAAACTGTCTTTAAAGATTAGTGCGCAGCTGTTACAAAGATTGTGATCTCAAAGTTGCAAAAATTCCCATTAGATAATTCGGAACACAATTTTGGCGAGC